CACACACAACAGACATCAGAGTTTTAACAGCAGCCACAGATCTGTCCTCTCCAGTGTTGTGGTTTGAATTATTCTGATCTACACATGAACCACTTACAGTGCTCGACGCAAACAAAGCTGACGAGCATGTTCTCTCACTTGCAGCAGTCTCTGCTAAAGCTGCAACATGCAAATCCCAGCCTGCGAAGTGACACGTTTTCAAGTCAGACTCGGAGGTGATCTTCATCTCCGTGACCTCGTTTCTGTGGATTTAGGTCGAAATAAATAAAAGGAAAGAGTTTAAGTTCAGAAATGAGACGTATCGATGTGCATATTGTGAACACGGGTGATCTGAAAAAAACTGAATTGAATTTCTGCTGCTGCATTTACTCTGTGAGGGGTAACGTTGGGACACACCCCATAAATATGAAAGTGATGATTGGCTCCACAGTTGGAGGCCGGTGTGCTACGTACGTTTACCCAGTCATCTCTGTCTCACTCTGCCCTGAAGCCCTTTTCTATCTGCTGCACAGAAATCCTTCATTTCTTCTTCAGGATGAACTGAACTGTTCTTTTCTATTTTCAGAAAAAGAAAACCACAACAGCTGCATCTTCCAGCAACAGGTGTGTGCATGTTATCTACAGAGAGGCACCATACATACATTAAAAAACACACACAATCTGCTTTTACACATGAATCTGCCTCATTCCCGGGAATTTTGGTAATGTGGTTTTGCCAAAGCTGCTGGTGTGGTTTATTTATACAAAATGTGTCTTTCGGTATCCGTGCCTAATGCCTATTGGACAACCGAAAGCACTTTAACCACGTAGTTCATGGTGTCAAAACCTTTCCAGTGAGTAAAACTGAAAGTAAAGTGTAACTGGAAAAGTCCCAAAACAAAAAAGGTTTCCTGCACGTGCCCCTGCCAACCCTGCGACCTCCTCACGTGGACCTCTTTGGTCTCTACAATGTTTGGAAAATGCTCCGTTGGGTTTAGTGAGGGTGCTGCTCGGATAGGACATGGAGGAGCCAGTGAGCGTGACAAACACTCACTAGCTGTGAATGCTCCAGACTATTAAGTTAGAGCCCCTCCTCATCCTGTTCTTCTTCTTTGGTGCAACCCTATAGGTTTGGGGTATCCCTTTGGCCTCTCCCCTGCTACAATTCCCCTGTGGGAGAGGTCGGTGTCATTTATTTTCCAAAAACTAATTATATCTTTATCCACCCTGATGTTTCTGAGTGTGTGTTTTAGTTATTGTCATCATTACACCTGTCTTTACTAGATGCTGTGAATATGTGATATGTGTGTGTGTAGGCACTGTTAGTACGTCTTGCTAGCTTGGAAGTTGTAGCGAGGTGAGCTAACTCTCGACCCAACTGTTTATTTTTGGTTATAGGAGGTGGAGCAGGCAAGTTGTTTACTCGGAGGTCTTTCTTTTAACCTTTCATTGTCAGACACAACGCAGG